GAACCCTCTGATCTCCATTCTGATGTTTTAAGGTGGACTTTTTGGAACACAGTACAGGGGAGATGAGGTTTATCCACTAGGTAAGCTGACTCAGAACTGGATATTGGAAGGCAAACAAGATCTGAATCTCCATTTAGCCTCTTACAAGTTTGGGAAAATAAATTACTTACCAGTCTGTGCCTCAGTTTCCTCATCTGTCAAATGGGGACATAAATATGTACCTGAGCATATAGTGGTGAAGATTCAGTGACATAATATATGGGCAAGCCCTTAACCCTTGGGTCACAACAGAGCCAGGTAACTGCACAGCTCACACTCTGGGGTGCTTATTACGTGCTAAGTCACAACCAGGGCTCTGCTGGATGCATCCCAGGCATTCCATTTAGATGTTTGCTCAGCTGCTCAGGCCATACAGCTCTGCTGCTGAATAACAAAGAGAGGGTGGTAATCAAAATACATAGATGTCCTCAAAATAAATCTCATCTAGAAACTAATTTCAAAAATAGCTACTACATACTTTGCATCAGAATTAGTTAAGGGGCTGACTTGTTTTATTTGCTCTCTTATTGGCAGAGGCACAGATAAGCTCTTTAATGACCAAAAGGAGCTGTCTGNGCTGAGCGCGGTGCGGGCGCAACACCGAGGGTTGCGATCCCTTGCCGGTCCCCGGTGCGGGCGCGACACCGAGGGTTGCCATCCCGTTACCGGTCAGTAAAAAAAAAGACAAAAAGGAAAAAAAAAATAAAAAAAAAGAAATGGGGACTTTCTTCTTTGAATTGACTAATCTAATGGGTATTTGGAATAACCAAGTTGGGGAAATAAACTTTCTCAGGTGCATTTTTTTTTTAAAGTAGGTAACACTATATTATTCAGTTTAATAAAGAATGAACTTGTAAATTCTGCTAACTTGTGTTAAAATGGAACAACTTTCAGCTTAAAGGGCACTTCACCACCATCCCCCCAACTTAGTAAATACCTCCAAAAACCCTCCTGTATAAAGCAGAACCCTCTGATCTCCATTCTGATGTTTTAAGGTGGACTTTTTGGAACACAGTACAGGGGA